ATTATATAGGAGTATTTTCATCTAGAAATAATCAATTCAAAGTACGGATGTAATACTGCTTATCCAAAATGCAACAATTATTTTTGTAAAAAAGTTATGATTATAAGCTACTAGAATTTATCAATAACTTACTTTTTCGTTGGCCAATTTATTAATAACTTGGTTACTTTACTAGGATTCTTAAACATGAACACATTCTTTTATATAAAAAAATGTTTCCAACTAAAATTCATAATTAGAAACAATTAATCTTAAACCTTACATTTAATGCAGCTCAAAACTAAAGCCTACACATTATTGTTCACTATTTGGGACACATCATGTATTGATTTTCCCAAACAAAAGCCAAGTTGTTAATCTTTTACAAAGTGATAAGAAGAGGACAACATTTTTTTTATAGACAAAGATTTTGGGGATCTTTGAACAGCCAAGAGTGACCCTTAACGTACAAGCAGAGTCCTTTTTTTTTTTTTGGATGAACAGCAAAGTCTGAAATTTGGAAACAGATGTTGGTTGAGAATTATAAAAAGTAATAAATAGAAGCAACCCCAGTATGTTAAAAATCAATCTGTAAAATGAGTTTCAGGTCACAAATTCAGAATCAGAATGTATCAAAGCAAATAAAAGCTTATCTACTTTTGTACAAAAGAATAGAAGACTAATCATAAATGGCACCCAGATAAACTGATGAGCAAGCATTTATAATTTACTCTCCTTCTGTAAATGTTTGTACCGACATTGATCTAACACCTTAGCTTCAGACTTTCAGGTTGGATCCCACCAGTGCCATAGTGAAACTACTGTGTTGTTTTTGGCTTATTTGGAACGATGGTATAATATTTTTAAAATAGCTTTTCAACCGTGAATTATGATTGCCAGATAAGCATGTGAAAAAAATTTGGCATCAAATTGCATGAATAAGTGATTTTGGGACTCCAATTGTAATCCCAAACAAACCCATGGTCTTTTTTTTTGGGGGGGGGGATTTGAGCCGTTCATATGGAATTTTATATTTTATATTGGTCTGAATAAGTTGGAGATATTAGGTTCTATCAATAATGGTGGACGACCAACATTCATAAAGAGAAGAACGAACCCGTGAATGGTTTTGAGGGTACAACATTTGAGCTGTTAATGGTTGCTGGTGGGTCAGCGCCAGTCATATTAAAAGTTTGGACGCATGGCTTGGGGTCAAAACTGAAACTCAAAGCCAGCATGTGTTTAGTTGTTCTCTTTGACGCCCAAGTTTAATTTTGAAAACTCAGTTTTTAATAAATGCTTGTTTGATTGGTTTTACTAAACTGGGTTTTACCTCTTAATCCTCAGCAAGCAGGAAATTAGATTTTCTGAATTGAGTTCTGTTAATATCATTTTAGAGCCTATTTGGAACAGTTTATAAGTAGTTTTTTAACAATAATTTACGAAAAACGAGACAAGTGAACTTAAATGAAACGTGATGATAAGGGATTTCTTGAGCCCTCCAAACTAGGGGTGTGCATGGACTAGACTGGACCGGGTTTGTTATCAACCCGAAGTCTGGTCCAGTAAAGACCTCGGGCTGAAAAAAACAACCCGAGGTCTGGTCCGGTCCAGTGCCAACCCGAGGTCGGGTTGGACTGGACTTGGTCCTCTGGACTGCCTGGACCAGTCCAGGCAGTCCAGAGCTAATTTTAATTTTTTTTTAAAAATTTTTTTTCTTCAATAAGAGGCAAGATTGTAACTTACTATATAAAATTTTGCACATATTTTAATTCAAAAGTTATCAAATTTGATCATTCCTTTTCAATTTCCCAATGAAGTCATGTTTTATTAATTAATTCTCATCAATATAGATCTTAAATTGTAGAAAATATATATGCATACTCATTACTTTGAAAGTTAATAGATAAATCTTAATTATTTGAATAGATAAAAAATTTATATAGAAAAATTAAATCAAATTAAAATTATATAAATAATAATTTTAAAAAATCGGGCTAGACTGGACTGGACCAACTGGTCTGAGGGGTCAGTCCCTAGTCCAGTCCAGCCCGATGAGACCAGTTCGGTCCAGTCTGGTCCAGTCTTGTTTCGGGCCAATTTTTTTTGGACTAGACTGGACCGGGTTTGTTCGGGTTGGACCGGACCATACCGGACCACCGGGTTTTTGCACAGCCCTACTCCAAACAGGCTCTTAAGGTGCATATTCAAATGCTGCGCCCTTCCAGTTCCTGGAATGGCCATTAATAGTATTTAGGCATGAGCAAGGGAAGCGATTGTAGTAAGACAAGTACAAAATTACAACCAAACTGATATAACCCACACCAGGTTGGAGCACAGAATTCCTGCCACAGACGCAGAAACACATGCTTCATCACTTCAACAAACGCTTTGTTGCTATCCCAAGCTTCTTAATTACCTCCCCCCCCCCCTTTCTCTCTCTCTATATATATACACGTACACTACATCCCATTTTTTATCTTTTAACGTGAGAGCTAGATAAATAATTTAAAGATATTAAAAAAATTAGTTAAGTTAGTTATTCGTCATAAATATGTATTGTCTTCCATAAGCTATTCGTTTTAATTATATAGTAGTATATTAGAACTATCTGTTGGTAGGAATTCTTACAATCGATACGAATGTTTTAGGAAAAAGATAAATTTGAGAGATAAATTAGATTAAAATTTTATATTTAAAACCAAATTTAATTTTTAACTAATTTTTATATTAAGGATTGAAAGAAATATACATAAGAGTTATGATATGCTCGGTCTACTGACAGTAGGCCGTGCTTAGTTGGAAGATGGTCTGTTGGACTGTCTGGGCTCAGTCCTGATAGCCTCGGCTTGGATTCAATCTTCCGATCCCAAATCCGAATATACCAGAAATTTTAACCGTTAGCTTCATAAACGCAAGTAGAGCCGGGAAAACGGGCCGAGCCCGTCGGGCCGGCCCTTTTAGGCCCTGAAATTATGAGGGCCGGGCTTGATATTTTTCTCTTAAAATGAAACATAAGCCCTGGAGGGCTGGCCCTGGAGGGCCGAGGGCTTAAAAGGGCCGGTCCTGGAGGGCCACGGGCCGGCCCTTTTAAGCCCTTTTATATTTTTTTTATTTTTTAAATTTTTTTATATAATATTAATGTTATTAATTTTTTACATTGTTAATAATATTTCAAATATTTAGTTATTATTATCATTTTAAAAGTAAATTTAGTTTTAGATAATAATTTATCCAATTAAATTTTTAAAAAATGGGTTAATTTGGATTTTAATAATGATTTGATTTATATTATATGCGTTGATATTTTTAAACTATATATATATTTGATAATAGAATATTTTTATACTTATATAACTTGTGATTCTATAATTTGAATTAGAAATTCATGAGTTTCAACAGCAATGTTTCTCACATTAAAGTAAAATAATAGTTAGATTGCAAAATTTAAAAATAAAATTCTTATAAAGAAGAAAAACTTGATATTTTTGTTACGAAAGAAAAGTATACTTATGAAAAAAGTAATTAATTATAGTGATGATGAAGTTTCAAAAGATTAATAATAGTGTTTATTTATTGCATAATTGCATTATAGATAAAACTTTTAGATGTTGTTATCTTGTTAATGAATGTTTTAGATATTCTTAGATATTGATGAATATTTATATATGATGATATTTTATATGTGACTTAATTTTATTCATATTTATGTCTTTTATTAATAATTTCATTGATTTATTTTTATAAAAAATATGATAAATATAAAAAATAGTATTTTTTCTTAAACGGGCCAAAAGCCCGCAGGCCGGCCCTGGCCCTGTAGCTTAAGGGCCGGGCCTAGCAAATTGGGATATTTTTAAAATTCCAGCCCTGGAGGGCCGGCCCTTTTAAGCCCGCCAGCCCTGAAAGGCCAGCCCTGGAGGACCGAGCCGGCCCTGATTCCCGGCTCTAAACGCAAGTTGACACAAAATACATTGTTAGATTTTTTTCTTTTTAAAGTGATTCCGAAGGTTGCCAAACTCCCCATTAATTGCTAACATGGATTCAACTGTAAATATGAAACTATCCGGTTTAAAATTTTATTTAGGTGTTTTGGGTTTTGAAAATTAATTAGAACATAATAAATTTCACAATTCAAAAAACACCCAAAAATGCACTTGCAAAATTATCTGTGATAACAAGACTCAAATCCACGTTTCTGATAGGATAAGCCATATCTTTATTAACGAAATCAACCTTTATTGACTACCTCGATTTACAATATATTGTATAGATATATCGATATTTATATAATAAAAGTCAATTTTTTTTAACAATACTATTAACTACAGAAATTTCATTCCACCTTTACCAATCTAACCTTGAGTGGGAACTTGCAAAAACATTTAGAAAAACTCAATTGCAATTTGACCAACCTAGGCTCTGTTTGGATAGCACCCCAAACCATGATTTGGGGACCCAAACCATGGTTTGGGAAAAATGCTACCTAAACAGCCTCTCCAAAAACCAAAACCATGGTTTTGGGTCAAAACCATGGTTTTGACTCCAAAACCATGGTTTTGGAAAAAACAAAATTTTTTTGTTTTTGGAGAAAAAAGGGAGAGTGTGAGGGCCTATATGATATGTATCTTGTTATTTTTTTTATAAACATATTTTTTATAAATATATTTAATCTTATATTTTATAAATATATATAGACATTAATTATTTATTAATTATATTATCTTATGTATTATTAATTATGTTGGTAAAAAAGCATATTATTAACAATTTTATTTCTTCAAATTAAAATATATCATAAAATCTATTTTTTCTGTAATTATCATATTAACTTATGTCTTTTTTTTAGTAATTTGTATATATAAAAAGTGCTTCTGATAACAACTATCCAAACACTCTCACTTCTCAGAATCACTTTTTTACAAAATCTATTCTTCACAGAATCTATTTTTTCCAGAATCTATTCTCCAGAATCACTTTTTCAAATCACGGTTTGGTTTCATCCAAACACACCCCTAATCTTTGTTTTTGGCCAGGTGGCACCCTCTTAACGTACTGGCAAGAAATATGTTGAAAAGCTTTTACATCCATGGAGAAGAGCCATATCTAGTAGTTTCCAAATTTCAATCTACGCATATAAAAGAATACATCCTCTTTTTTTGTTTGGCCTGCATACCATACATACATACATGCAAGTCATGCTATTTATTGGCCAGTGCAACTCATTCCTGGACTTCGTACAAGAGAAACATGTTTAATTCAACAGAAAGATATTAGTGTGGCAACGTAAACAGCATCAATCTCACCATAATGCAGCAGCATTTGACATCTTGATAAGGGCACTGCATGGAAACAATGTCCAGAACAGGTCACGTCCCATCCAAAAAAGAACAAAAGTACAGCGGAGAACCAAAAGCAGAGATATGAACGAATGCCAGGTTTGGCCTCCTCAAACTCACATGGACCTATTATCTGATCAGGATGCATCGTATTGGTGATGCCTCGGAACCAACCAACCTAAGGGGCAAGCAGTTCAGCGTATATATTCCTTCCGGGACATCATCGAGCTTCAAGCCTTCCACCAGAATGATTTCCTGAGAAGTGCATGGTTTTGTTAGCACATTGCTTATTCATACTAGGTCTTATCCAAGAAAGAAAAACGCCTTTTGAAAAAAGAAAATAAAATAAAATAAAAAGTTGTTGTCTATACAAGCAAAACCTGAGAACCTTCTGGCAAGTCTTCTCAAGGCTTAAAAACAAAAAAAATTATTTGTCCAGAGGCGACACTTCCTCAAAAAAGCAGAAAAGAAAATTTAATGCAGACTGAGATTAGTTCATCAGCCTGCAGCTGACCCCAAGCAAATGAATTGAGGCTAAGAGACATGGTGAAGCAATCATTATGAACTGGGGCAGAGGGCAGACTGAATTTGTGTTGATTGGTAGTGTGTTTGTCAATAAAACCTGATCTAGATGGGATAGCTACAAACATCTCCTCAAAAAAAAAAAAATAATAATAATCCTTACAGCTTCTACCAATTATCAGGAGATCAGCAACCAGAACTAAATGGTCCAAAAATTTGTGAACTAGATGCACAGAAAAAGGAGCGGCCACAAAAACAGGATGTACAGCAAAAGAATTTATTGATATTTCCCAACTATCTTGGGTGAAAATAAAAATGTAATTTTCATGAGCACAGGGATCACAATGATAACCAGAATCACCAGTTAGCACGCAGACCATCATTATCAGTACTACTAGTCTGGAAATTGCGGGAGTTCAGAGCTTAATATAAAACCAAACATGGATGGGATAGCTAATGTTGTTTGAAATGTTTTCTTTTCCATTAAAAATAAATCAAGGGATCGAAAATTAGCAGGTCGATAGTGTGAAGTTACACATGCATGAATCAGTATAATGAAACAAACATTTTCTTTACCCTGCCTTCCAGAAATACATGATGAGATTGAACCGAGTGATCATAAGCAGCAGCGGATAAGTAATCAACTCCTACAGTGCATCATAGGAATGTGAATAGGCATAATAGGAACTTTTCCAAGAGAAGAAGAAAAAAATTTGACAACAATCAATTCGAACAGCAGAGGTACTTTTACTAAATTTTCTCATAGCACACAAGACATAAATTTTGATTGGCAGAGAGAGGAAGGATGCAAAAGAGAAGAAATGTCATCCTGTAACTAGGAAATACTATTGATAAGCCCTTCCTGTTATTATTTCTTCATTGACTGAGTTTCAAAAGACTGAACACACACATACACACAAACACACAAACAAAAGAGTATTTGCTTGAAAGACAGAAAAACTAATGGTGATAAATTTGTCGTAGATGAAATATCTTGCTCCCATGATATAGGGATACTAGAGGTAGTGTGGTACCATGCCATGCAATTATGGTAGACTCAAACCTACGTATTGGAAAATGGATGCATAGATGGAGTTAGATGTGCATGACTACACATGCAAAAATTAAAGGAATCTGGTCATTCATACCTTGGGGGAAAAAAAAAAAAAGATGAATCTGGTCATTTGACACGGGAAAAAGGTCAGAGAATATGCCCTTGAGAATAAGCAGCCAAAAAGTTTTAAGAGACAATATATATCTCACCTACAAGTTTAATGTCAGTATTCTCAACCAGCCATTTCGCTCCGTCCTCCTTGAAGCCTACATAACTTGTGTCGAATTCCTTCTTAAACATAAGCCGCCTGACATTTTAACAAATTTAAGTTTGCATGTGGCTTCTAATGAGCTAGTACACATTGCTAAGCTAAATGATGGCAACAAGAGATTTTATTTTGGATCATCAAGGTCAAAATGTGCAGAATTCTATAAACACGTCAATTAAGGAATATATTCAATTAACTTTTTATGCTAGACCAACAAGAGAAAAGTAATATACTAAAGTAACAATACAAGTATTTATACAAGTAACCTGTCAGTATTTAATGTCCTGAAGAGCACACGACGTACACCGCTAGGAATACTCAGGGACTTCATAACTTCAGCTGTAAAAAAGGAAAATGTAATCTAATATACAATTATTGAGGAAGCTAAAATACCATGAAAAAATTCACACAATTATGAAACATTTTTAACTAAAGAAACCAAAAATAGCAAATGTGAAGAAATGGGTGTTTATGAGAAAGCACCCCCCCTGAGAGCATATTTGTTTTGTACCCTTTTATCTTTTATTATTAATCATAAAACTTGGTATGTTGGGCAAATTAACATTCAGATCTTTAAATAATTTTTAATCTATAGGATCTTAATTACACATGAATGATCAGAGCAATTATATGGTGTGTTCATCAGATACACAATAGTTCTCATTCATCAGAATATTGTCAAATTTTACTAAAGTTAACCTCAAACTTTGATCAACATGTGCAAAGTCCAACATAGCAAACAAATAAGAAGTCTTCAAAGCAAACTCACAAGTTATACATACCAGTTATGTTTGTATCCCTTGGAACATCGACCAATAGAGCATAGCCTACAGATAGAAATAGGTTTTCTGTTAGCATCTATGCCAATATGATCAACTATAGCATTCATAAAATGAATTACCAAAAAGGAGAAAGGAATAACTTTTATCCTATAATACAGCTAAGAAAAATTTAAATCCTATCAAATGGATGGGTATAAGCTCCAGAAAATCCGAAACGTGAGTGGATAAAGCATCTGACTACTGGCTATGAGTTCACGAGGAAGAAGTTATTACAAACAACACTTTCCAAAGCCAAAGAGCAAAAAGCTAAAAAAGAAAATAACACATTCAGAAGTATTAAACACTGAGATGGTCAGCAGCACATATATATACCATTCACCTGTGCTGGTTAATTGACAAATTTTAGATACCAAAAAATAGCTTGAATTGATTTCCTTACTCAGGATGCATGCTCTAAATTCTTGCATCGTGGGTTTCAACATGTAATAGCGAGGGAAAATTGATATTCCTAGTCCAAGATTGGGCTGAGCTAAATTGTACATACGCTTTCATAAATCGTTCGATCAAACAGACAGAATCTAGAAAGAATTATGCAAAACACCCTCAGAGCTACTAGAGGCTAGTAGCATGTCCTAGCAAAATGCTTTTGCCACTATTCGCTTCGCTCTGCAAAGCTTGACGCAAAAATTAGCAAACAAAAAGCTGTATGAAGTAGGATGAACCATCCACCACTACCAGAAGAGAGGAAGCCGAACACTATCCTGAAATTTCACCGAAAGGTTTCATATAGCACATGGGATTAACACAATAAATGTCAACGCGAAGGGACATCCAAAAAACCTCGTACTTTCCGCGTACGGCTAGAGTGCAAGACATTATCACCAAGAGAAAAATAAAAGTGAAGCACAAGGCTACAAAAACCATAACCATTCTTTTACCATTAAGGACTTCCAAATCGAGCGTGTCAACATCAAAGCCGGCGTCGAAGTAGTTGTCGAAGAAGTGGCTCGGCGCATCGACATGGGTACCAGTGTGAACACCCAGCTTCATAGCTGAGTTATTGGCGCGAGAACCATTTTTCATGCTTTTCTCAAGCCAGAGAAAGTGTCTACCAAGGCCATCGTTAGAATCCCAGACTGGCATGTGGGGGACGTATTTGTGAGTGATATCGAAAATTCGACCATTATCGTAGACTTCTCGGCGAAGAGGAATAAGATCAGAGTCACCACCGGCGATGGAGCAGTCGACGGCATCGGTGCCGGGGATGGTGGGATAAGCCGCAGTATCGGCAGAGACAGCTCGGTAGTGGAGGGAGATCGCCAGGGCCAAGGCACAGAGAAACGAAAGTGAAAGTAGAGAATTCATGGCCGTAAGAATGACAAGAGAACCTGGTTTACGGTCAATCAGCTCACTGTAACTGACACAGCACTCCACGGATGAGTCAATCTTTTTTTTTTTTTTTGGGGTCAAGAACGGAGGAGTCAATCTATATCTACATTTTACCCGCATTTGCTGCCCAGAAAACACAATGGAATATTGATTTCTGGGCAGCAAATGGAATGAGATTTGAAAAATTAAAATGAATGAAATATTCCGTTCTGTACTTAATATAATACTTAGTTAGTCAATTTAGAAAAATTAAAAAATTACTAAATTACTTTGAGCTGTTTATATGTATTGTTTTTCTTCAAAACTAACTTGTTTTACTTATAAATTGATATACTACCTCCGGTCCTTAATATAAGACCCCGTTTGACTTTTGTTTAGTCCTAATTATAAGACCCCAATCCATTTTGTCTCTCATATTTATATTTTTTTTTCCAAGATAGTCATTCTAATAATGATAGTTTAGCCAATACACTTAATAGCAAGGATATTTTAGGAATGATAATACTTATTTATTACAAAAAACTAACTTAACTTACTTCCTTAATCTCTTCAAATAATCAACAGGGTCTTATAATTAGGACCGAGGTAGTATAATTTAATAATTCATATAAGTATTTTAGAGATATCATATACTATCTCTGGTCCTAATTATAAGATCTCATTTGTAGATTATAAGTAGGACCGGAGGTAGTAATACATATTATAATTAAGTAATTTAATAACTCCTTTAATCTTCTCAAATTAGTCAACTGAGTTATTAAAAATAATATTTTTTCCTTACATAAAAATAATAAAAATACTGCTAATAATTAATAATAATATTACTTCAGCATATCTTAAATGCACGAATTATTCAGAATTCAATAGTTGATTTTGATTTTTTTTAACATCAAAGTTGAATCTTTTATTTATTTATTTTAGATGAAACAAGAGTATCTCCAAGTTATATTGGATTTGAGACTAATCCTTCCGAACTTGGGGCAGTATTTTCAAGTTATATTGGATTTGAGACTAATCTCTTTCAGGCCTGAAGCGGTTAAGAAATAGTCTTCCTAACAAATATGTTTTTTTGAGATTCAAACTTGTATTTTCAACTTAATTTTACCTATGAGCTTTTAGGATTCTCAACTTAATTTTCAGGATCTTCATTTTGTACATAAATGAGTGATTTTTTTTTTTTGCCAACTACATAAATGAGAGCATTTTGACCAATTGGAGTTTTTTCTTGCCTTGAACGACATTGACTAAGGTTTTTTTATTAATATTTTAAAAATTTTTAGTCCTAAAAACACTATGTAGTTTTCCCAGGAAATTACATGTTCTGTTCATCATTCTGCTAGCCACGTCAACTAAATTGTTCTGTTTTCCTTTGTCTGTAAAATGCACAAAATGTCAAAATCAGTGAATAAATTGTTACATTTTTTATTTTGATATATATATATATATATATATATAATGAATTGTTCTATTTATAACTTCTTGATCCTCGCCATAAACTTTGTTAATATTGATTATAATTGAGCCCGAAGTTGCATGGCACTCCAAGTTCATTGGTCAAAATAAATCTTAGGAATTGCTTTTCATCCCAAAAATTCAAGTGGTTATTGATGATATTTAATACGAAGTTTTGGCCTTTTCTCCAGAAATCTAATAGACTACGACTCTGACCAATATATTATTCATGGCCGCCACATAAAAATACACAACGCCAGGGTGGCAACCAGTTCTTCCATTAACTTCCAATTCCTTTCGTTCTGATTTCGCGGATAGTTTCAAAGGATTTCACTTCCATTTTTTTCCACCACTGTTCCTTAATAAACTCCTTATAAGTATGCCGTTTCTTCAACCTAATCTTTTGCTGCTTTAAATCCACCTTCTCAGATGTCATCGTTTTCAGTGGGCACTCACTTGTCCCCATCCCAACACCTACGGAATCTCACAGTTCACCTTTCAGTTCATGGCATTCGTACTGTCGAATATTCACCATCAAGTCGGCTCCTTTCTGGCCTCTCTTGTTGTAGGACCAGACTTCCTAGATTGTTGGGTGATAGTGTATTGGCACGTGCTGAAAACAAGGCTAGAGGTCCTACTTCGTCTTTTCAGCCGCCTCAAGCTCCTCAAAATTGCGACTCACAATTTGAGGTTCTTCTTCTACTATTATATGACAAAGTTCTCAGATTACTCGTTCAGCTGAATTTCAAGTTTATGAATCTGGACATACCATGTTTGTTGGCAACGCCGAGAACTTTTATTTACTTTATGTGGGGATGGGTGGGGTGTTGAAGCACAAAACTTGCATATGCATATGGTTGTTTAGGTGTTTACCATCAACTTCTTCAATGAAAGTATAACGTAAAGGAAAAGTCTTCTATAGATCCCATTACACGGCGCTGTAGAGTAGGCAGGTGTCATGCTTTCATCTTCCTCACATGTTTTTTGGTCTATAAAAGTTTCCCGGACTTTTTAGCAAATTGAATTCTCTACATTAAGAGAAATATCATATCTTTTACCAAATGTATTGTAGGCATTCTCTTTCGAGAATGAGGAGGATTCTAATTGCTTTTTTGATCGGTTACTTTCCACACTTCATTCTCGTTTTTGCTGGCATTATGGAGGAAAAAAGGCTAGAATTAGTATTGAAGTTTCCAGCTTTGTCTCTTGTATGCTAATGCTCAATGCTGCTCATAATGTTACTGTGAAAATGTTTTTACTCATTAGGACCTGACGCCAGAACCCAGTACTAGCGATCCCTTGTGCTCAATTGACGAAGCTAGCTCACAAGATTTTGAAGGTAGAAACCAGTCCAAGACTGACTTGCTTAAGGCTCTTGCAATATTTGCAGCAGCTGCAACTGGAGTAGTGGCAATTAACCACTCTTGGGTAGCTGATAATCAGGTCCATGAATACCCTCTTACCGGAATCTACTTCTGTGTGTTTCATAATAAATTACATGCATTGAGGGAAGATGTTCTTGAATGTGCTCTGGTTCAAATTCTATTAACTCTACATGACCTCAAACTGCAGGATCTTGCTATGGTATTGCTGTTTGGATTAGGGTATGCTGGCATCATATTTGAAGAATCCCTAGCCTTTAATAAAACAGGAGTAGGACTGTTGATGGCTGTAAGTCTTTGGGTGATACGGAGTATTGGGGTAAGGTCCTTTTTTTTCCCTCAACATTACCAGTAAGTTCTTGATTAGTCACAAGTTTCATGCGATCCAGAGTCCTGGGTTTGAGATTTAGGTTGCACTTAGAATTTTTCATTTTGACAAAGCGCAACACACATCCCACTTGAGCTTCTATTTCCACATGATAATGTGTAAATCTCTGTATAGAAAAGGATGCTCAAGTATTAGACGTCATATACCTGAGACAGGGATATGACTGTCGCAATACCCCTTCCGTTTTCCTCCGATATTTTTTAGGCATATTTCCCAAGGATAATGAAACCTTGACAGGGATTAGAAGTGATTGTATGGACCTTTTGATTATCCTGACCTTTATAAGTGGAATCACAATTTTTTGTGTAATCCCATAGTGATTGTAAGGATCTCCTGTTTCTCAAATTTTTACCTCAGATTTCTACTCTGCCAAACTTGTGTGGTCATAGGTATGCTTTCAACCTTAAATGGTTTCTCTTGCCTTATGCAGCATAAGCTGCAAAGAGAAGTGACTGGTTCTTGTGTTACTCTTTTTTAGAAATACGAGTTTCATTTTTTTAATTGTACTGTTTTTATCATTAATACGCTGTAATAAGGCCTTTTTTAGGTTTATACAGAAACTAACTTTGACTGAATAATATGCAGAACCCTTTGGTAGAATCATATATTTGGATGGAATTTCTTCGCCAAAGGGGATTTTAGTAGGTTTGGTTCAACTACGCATCATTTTTAGATAACCTTACCTCAAGTTTATGTGTTTCATTTATGGATTAAAATTTTTTCAAATATTGTGTCTTTTAATGTTTAGGAATTGTTGTTGGTTAAAAGTTGACTTGGGGTTAGAAAAATATCTTAATATTTAACAATATGATTAACATAATGGTATATAAATTGCTCATAATAAGCTTAAATGTTGCCAAGGAGTCTCGTTTTCTCTTTAATACCAGTATCACAAGAATTCCATGTTTCCATTACATGAAATCTGGAGGGCAAGATTTATACTTATATAACCTCCCTCAAAAAGATGATAGTTCGCCAAATGATCTGCAGATCACAAATACTGATTAGCACTAGTTGTTTTCTCCTCTCCCTTTCTTATCTCGCATTGAAATTTACCATATCTCTGATTTTCGCAGCTAGTATGTATAATTCAGTCCTTATTTACCCTTTGTGGTTAGATTTTTGTACTACCTTCCCCCATTGGATTGTCTGTAGGCTCCTTCAACTGACATAGCTGTTTCAGAGTTGACGCATGCATCTGCAGAAGTCAGTGAAATCGTATTTTTCTTGCTTGGTGCCATGACCATTGTTGAGATAGTTGACGCTCATCAAGGATTTAAACTGGTTACCGACAATATAACAACTCGAAAGCCACGCCTTCTTCTTTGGGTGGTGAGTGCTCTATTCTGCATAGCTGCTGATAGGTAGAACCACACCCCCCCCCCCCAAAAAAACCAAAAAAAAAAGGGGCATATTCTTCGATATATGACTAACATGGACCAAATAAGGGGTCTCCTCCTTGCAGATGCGTGGTGCATTAATGACGGCTAGCCTCCTGACGTTTGATGCTTTGAATAATGGTATTCTAGAGAAACGAATGGCTTTATTGATGATAGAAATTTATGTGACACTGCAGAAATTAACTGTCTATAATTGAGAAAACTTATGTACTTATCTGACATTCTATGATAATGGAAAAGTTTATGTGTTCCAATAAATAATTATTTTTATTTTTTTAAAATCCTGCTAAATAATTAACTGTCTAACATGACAACTCAGCTGTTGCGTCTCAAAAAGTAAAATTTGGCATATGTTTTGTGCTTGCAGATTGGATTTGTGACATTTTTCCTCAGTGCAGTTCTAGACAACCTCACATCTACTATAGTCATGGTTTCTCTGTTACGGAAACTAGTGCCTCCATCCGAGTATCGAAAGTACATGCTCTTATTCTTTTAAATACTTTCAGTTTGATTCTTTCCAATCATTTGTATTTTAAATGTGCCTAGTTTTACTACAATAACATGTATGTATGAATGAAGATATTTGTGGCTTTATTTATCTTGTGAGTTTTGGTCATTAGAGCTACCTCAAGTTTATTAGTGTTCGTACAACATATTGATGGATCATGAAAATTTTTCTTCCATATAAAATTTGTAGTTAGTTGTTTCTGTGACTGTTTTCTATTCATAAGATGTTATAAATGGGGTAAGCTACCACAAGCTTAAGCTGAATTCTGCATCAACAATATGGTTCCTCGAAATTTTTGTTTCAAACATTTGGAGATTTAGTTGTTTTTTTATGATAATAACTTGTCTTTTTATGCGAATTGAAATTTAAGAAAATAATAGCCAAATTATTGTAGCTAGGTTGTAAACAAATACAAGATTTTATCATAATGCCTGGTAAGAGTTTTTAATGAGAACTTGTTCACAATGATAGTAATGCTAGAACAAACTCTTGCCCATTGACATTGTTGCCTCCTGATTACATGAGCAGATATAACTAAGAAGCAGCAAAGGCCAGGGGGTCATAAAGAGGGTTCAGTCTCCCCAGAATCTAACTTTATTTATGTTATTTAACTTTTCTTGTCAGAACATGCTTCTGAGCTTCACGCTTATGTGTAAACTATCATTGTCAGAGCATGCTTTTATACTAAGAGACATTTCAATGAATTGTATGCTAATTACATTCTTCTCCAAGACTCTGCTATATTTCCAGGAAAATTACTGACTAGGATTATGTTGACAGGATTCTTGGAGCTGTTGTTGTTATAGCTGCAAATGCTGGTGGCGCTTGGACTCCTATTGGTGATGTTACTACTACCATGCTGTGGATACATGGTCATGTATCTACATTGCCAACTATGAAGGTTAACTCCTGGAAAATTGTTCCGTTATGATATGTTAGTTTGTATTATGGCATAGTTTGACCTGATAATCAACTATACGGGTGGAATGAATTGGAATTGGCTGAACTAGTGGTGACAAAAGCACATTCTTTGTTGACTGAAGTCTAGATGTTCTTTGTTGTACTCTTCTTCTTTTTGCTCTTTGGTTGCATGGACACTTAGGTTAAGTGAAGGTATTATTTACCCTATATAAAGTATTGATTTTGGGGAAAGATCAGTAATCATGCAAGTTATGTTATATAGAATAATCAAAGCATCCGTAATTGCATTTCGTTGCTTGCAGGATTTGTTTGTACCTTCGGCCATTTCTCTAGCTCTCCCTCTGGCTCTTTTGTCATTGACTAGGTACTCATAAAGTGAAAGTACTCCAAGAAATTTGAGTTCAATAATTAGATATAGGTTAAGAATGACAACTTCAACAATTCTTCTCTTCTTTTCTTCTGTTCAGTGAAGTGAATGGGAAGGGACGTGATTCTCCCACGGTTTTGGCATCTGAACAGATGGCTCCTCGAGGACAGCTTGTTTTCTCTGTGGGTATAGGAGCTTTGGTGTTTGTGCCAGTTTTCAAGGCCCTAACAGGTTTACCTCCTTATATGGGGATGTTGCTTGGACTTGGTGTGCTTTGGATTCTTACGGATGCTATTCATTATGGGGAGTCTGAAAGGCAGAAGCTAAAAGTACCACAAGCCTTATCTAGAATAGATACTCAAGGAGCATTGTTTTTTCTCGGAATTTTATTATCTGTTAGCAGGTGAGTGAGCAAATGATAGTCGTACCTTAGCTTAAAATAAACCTTATATCATACCCTTCTGTTAATCAACTATGTTAGAAACATCATGAAGAATCACATTGAAGCCCCTTTGAAAAGGAAGGATGTACTCTTGCTGTTATGCTAATGACATTTAAAAGAAGTTTTCTTCTTTTATGTTGATTAGACTATGCCTTAATATGACCAACTTGTAACCCCAGCTATTCTTGGAGTGTTTCCTTTACTAGTCCTTATATTTCTGGACTAATGGTTTTGTTCTTTAGCCTGGAGGCAGCAGGGATTCTTAGAGAAATAGCAAACTACCTCGATGCTCATATTCCAAATGTTGAGTTGATTGCAAGCGCAATTGGAGTCATATCAGCAATAATAGACAATGTTCCATTAGTTGCCGCAACAATGGGAATGTATGATGTCTCCTCCTTTCCTCAGGACTCAGAGTTTTGGCAGATGGTCGCATTCTGCGCCGGTACTGGCGGATCCATGCTGGTCATCGGCTCAGCTGCTGGAGTTGCATTCATGGGGATGGAAAAGGTGGACTTCTTTTGGTACTTAAGGAAGGTAATATATATGTGCCACTTTTGCATGAGGGATCAGAATTCTTTTTGTTCTGTGTATGAAATCTATCTTTTATCTAATGATCTGTTTGTATCAAGTAAAGTAACAGAAACACTTGATCTCTTTTTGCGCAGATTAGTGGCTTTGCTTTTGCAGGCTATGCAGCTGGTATTGCTGCTTATTTAGTAGCTAATAACCTCCACATTTCTCTACCCACAACTCTTGCTGATGTTCCTTTCCTTTCTGGTTCATAAATGGCGACTTGGTCCCAATCTGGTGTCTTCCTAATACAAGTTCATAAGGTTTAGATTAATGATGATTTGGGTTGCCCCATCATGGATTATACAACAGAGACAAGTAAGCTTCTTTTTTCTTTTTCTTTTTTGGAGTCTCAATTGAAATCCTCAAGTTTTTATTTTTAATTTTTATACTCAGATAGGAGAAACATCGCTGAGATGAAATCCTGAGATGGAAAACACTCAATATCCACTTGTAATGATAATTTGATATATCTTTTCCTAACATTTTTTAGATTTAATGAATAATCTATCCTGCTCATTTTTTATGAATAATATCGTCATTCATACATATTAATATTATTTTGCCTTTGCGTTTTTCTCTTTTTAAACTGAGATTTATCTTTAATTTTCATTTACTTCCTTGCAATACAAGCTTCTTTTGTAAATATCCTTTACATCTGAATTATTTGCAGCTTCCTCACCAATCATGGTATTTAACAAAAGGACAAATTATGTGCTAAAATATTAGGAAAAATCTTTAAAAAATACCTTTAAAATTATAAAATCCCAAATCAGAAATGACTACAAAAATATATTATCATTTGCTCCTCAAATGTTGTTAATTATTATGAAAGTGCAGTGAACAAAAATGATTTGAAATTTTAAAATTTAAAGGTTTTTTTTTTTTAAATTCTCGCAAATCATTTTGTAATACTAGCACTCAATTCTTAGTTTTTTTCATGATAAGTAGGTTTCAACTTTGAACTCTTTCTTGAAATTGACTCTGAAGAACAAATAAATTTTTTAAAAAAATTAGAAATGAAAAGGCATGTCTAATATTTAAATAATTAATTATAAATATTTGTTGAACCAAGCTTTAGTTTGGTTATGAAATTGTTCTTGAAATATTTTTCTCAATCAAATGGAAATACAACAGGGGATATTAAATTATCTGAATTTATGCTCCTCGTTTTTTATTCTATTATAAACTTTATAAACTAAAATAATCACTTGGATGTTTAATTAAAATATTACTTTTGGTGTTTAATATAAAATTTAGTTTGTAAAATATAAACTAGATTTTATTAAATAAATTTTTTATATATATTTATCTTGTATATGGTAAAATTAATTTTAAAAAATGAATTCACACACTCGAATTTAGCCGTCAAAGCCGCTCTCCACTAAATTCACAATGCTTTTAAGAAAGAAACTTCAAATGTAAAAGTGCTTGTATTCACAGCTGCCACTGTCAATTGAACTTGATTAATGAACCAACAGTTTAGCAAGTCTCCATAATTAAACCTCTCACCCTTTCCTTATATTACTTTCAATCCTAATTATAAGACCTCCTTTATAATATACAAACAAAATCTTAGGTTTTATAATTAAGACCAGAAATAATATCATGTTTTGATGTTTATATGAAATTTACAGACTTCGGCAGCTCCGTCTAAGCATATACAACAATAACTTTTCTTTCACTAATTATTTATATGTAGTTTCACAAAAAAAAAAATAGAAAATTATAAACAAAACCCATTACAACATTAGTATAAGTTTTGACAATAATTAATAAGTAAATGACATCAATTTTTGTAAATAAGCTTCGGCGTGCAATTTTTCAATTTTTAGAGTTTTTTTATTTGATTTTTTCAATTTTATATCTGTTTTTTAGGTCCTAAGTGGTGATACTTCTCATTAATCCTACCAGAATGGTAACCACTCGAAGAGATTAGTCATCAGGATCTAAGTTGTCCCTTGTCAATTCTCATCAGCCATCCCATTGGCACATCAGTTTCACATTTTGATGACAGATCGAAGAGGAAAACTCGGTTTCTTGTTTCTTTGAAACTACAACACTGACACAAGATGACTGTATTATTCTTTTCCCCGCCCCTACTCCAACCATCACAACTCGCATTTCGTGCCTCACCAAAACTGAGCAAATCATATAGTTTGCCCAACAAAATTAGAACCAAATACAGAATTAAGCAAAAACAAGTACCTCATGTTACAACTTAAGGAAAACAAACTCTTCAATGGCAGGAATCTCTCCAATCTTCTTCAAAGTCTCTTTGGTAGGTTGATCATCCACACCAATTGCCATTACAGCTTGCTTGCGAGGAGCAATCCTTCCAACACTCATGAAACTAACATTCACATTCTCCTGGCCTAGAATGCTGCCAACCTTTCCAATCATGCCTGGCTGATCCACCTGCCTGCAAAGTATAATGCTACCTTCCAAGCTCACATCAACCTCGAAAGATCCCACCTTTGTCAGATGGGGGACCCCATCCTTAACACAACCCTCGACCTTGATTTCACCCGAATCCGATATGGCACTAGCGAATCTGGATTCCACATTAGCAATCTGTACCTGGATGGATTCAAGTGGATTCTCAGGTGAGCCATCTAGAATAACCCTTTCCTCAGTTATCCTGAGCCCTCTTTGTTTAGCAGTGAAATCAGCATTGACCAGATTCACAAAAACACTGGATATGGGCTCAATGAGACCCTTGATTATCATGGCACGGAGAACACGGGTGTCAAGATCATCAGGAGCCCTGGCAGAAGCATAAGTCACCTTCACAGTTTTCACACCACTTCCTCCAGCTACCAACTGGAGAGCGAGTCTTCCCAGTTTCTCAGCAAGATCAACAAATGGTTTCAGCTCTGTTAACACCTGCATTGAGTAAGACAAGATAGAAGTTAATCCATTCTGGATTTAGCTTCACCACAAACTTAAGTGAATACTGGGGGTTAAAAAAGGTTCAAATAGATCATTTTATCAACTCCAGAGTTTCAAACAAGATAAAACAAGTCAAGTAACAAACTAACAATAAGAGTGAATGATTTTCCGCATGATAACTTACTAATACTAGGGTTTTCAAACCCAGGATATGGGAAGCAATTAATTAATTCAAACCATTTAAGCAAGAAACAATAGAACTTGCACTTGGAAAAAAAAAGTTGAAGGAAGAAAGAAAGCACATGTTTGAAATCCCAATAACATACAAACTTCAAATGAAGTTTTATCTTAACGTCACATGTTAATTAATGAAAGGTATATAGGATGGGACAATTGCAATAATTAATTAAAGATTTTCTATTTTAAAAAAAGGGAAAGGATAAAGATGAACTTCTTAAAGTACCTCTGCCGGAACCATTGGTGCATTGACTGCAGTCGAAGCAAGTTCTCCTTTCAATGCCCCAATAACAGCTTCAGCTATTTCAATAGCCACGCCTTCCTGCTCATCAGTTTCGAAGCTTACAAGTCATTATCCTTATGAGGGAAGAAAGTAGTGAACTGGAGCACACAACGTTTGCTAAACAAACCTGAGCTTCCATGGTACTAGCACCAAGATGAGGTGTTGCAGTGACGTTCTCATGGAGAACCAACTTGCTTTCTTTTGGAGGTGGTTCCTCTGTGAAAACATCAAGTGCCGCCTGAAACAAAGGCAAAAGTTATATACTCAACCCTACATTCTATCATCAGCGCCTTCAAATATGAGAATGGCAAGAACCTGAGCCACGATTCCAGCATCCAGAGCCCGAACAAGAGCTTCCTCATCAATGACTCCTCCACGGGCAACATTAACTATTCTAACTCCCTTTTTCATCTTAGCAAAAGTCTCATCATTAAGAATCTTTGATGTAGCAGGAGTAAGAGGCATGTGCAAGGAAATGAAATCTGCAGTAGCAATGGCTTCATCAAAGCTCACAAGCTCAACACCAATTGCACGAGCGCGATCAGCTGCAGCATATGGGTCATGAGCAATGACATGCATACCAAGACCCTTGGCACGGCGAGCAACTTCAGAACCAACCTTGCCAAATCCCATGACAGCAAGCGTTTTGCCGACAAGGGATACTCCGACATACTTATTTCGTTGCCATTTGCCTGAAACATCAAGCAGCATGCATTTCATTGAATACCAGTTAAAAAAAAAACAGAGAGAACCAATAAAACCAGCACTTGAAGTGAAAAACATCATCACTGTAAATAAAATATCCTTTGTCCTCCATATGATATATATCATATCGGAATCAGAGAGAAAAACCAAGCAAAAGTATAAAAAAGTTGGGAAATTGACATTGAGGTCCCACAGAACCAAAAATACAGCAAAAAGGTCCCCTGAAATCCCATAATTTTTCTGAAGTCCTAAAGGGACTTAGATGCAATTTTCAGAATCTGGAAATTACCCTCTTGCCCTTGCTTATGAGATTCGAAAATGCTGAAAGGAGATTAGAGCCTCTGTTTTTTGTTTGACCGGAAGAAAGCTGAAACCCTGTTGTGCTTTTGTGCTGCTGGAAATCTGGTGAAAACCCATCGCGATGCTCAAATTCCCCTCACAACCCGCTGAAAATCGTGAGCCTTCGTGCTGGTTGGTGTGTGTTGTGATTTAAGTTGGGTGTGTAGAATGATAATGGGTGCTCTGTTTTTGGGTTGTTTTTGGGTGGTTTTCCTCTGTTCTGACATTGGTTTAGTGGCAAAGGAAGAAAAGGATGAAGGTTAGTGAGGGTAGAAACCCTTAGCACGAAATGGGACTGTGTTGTCAATCAGGCCGCGATTGTTGTCAATGTGTGCCGCTACACTTGTCAATGTAGCTCTTTAAGTTGTCAATGACAGTTGCGTGCTTCTTGATGCAGGTTTAAGTTACTGATGGTTTTTCAAAGCTTTTGTTTTTGGTTTAGGATTCAGAAGTTAATGAATGGAAAAGCTGTGTTTTTGGTTGGTGTGTGTTGTGATTTAAGTTGGGTGTGTAGAATGATAATGGATGCTCTGTTTTTGGGTGGTTTTCCTCTGTTTTGACATTAGTTTAGTGGCAAAGGAAGAAAAAGATGAAGGTTAGTGAGGCTAGAAACCCTTAGCACGAAATAGGATTGTGTTGTCAATCAGGCCGCGATTGTTGTCAATGTGTGCCGCTACACTTGTCAATGTAGCTCCTTAAGTTGTCAATGACAGTTGCGTGATTCTTGATGCAGGTTTAAGTTACTGATAGCAAGTACGTCTGGAAAACATCTATTTTGCTTTGTTCACATAAGGGGAAAGTTTATAAATGATGGAGAAGATAATATGAGATATGTGGGAGGTAGTGTAAGAACAACCAATGTAAAGGAGGGCACAAGTTATGAAGAATTGAAGGAAATTATATCATCAATTGTTGGAAAAGAAAGCAACTCATTTCTTCTGAAATTCTCAGTTGTGTTTGATAAAAAAACTTTTGTGGAGTTGGTAGATGATGATGGGGTGGAACATTTGATAAAGTTCAATGAAGAAAGTGGTCATGTGTATGTCAAAGAAAATGAAAATGAGGACCACATAAAAGCAACAAGGGATAATATATACAATGGAGGAGCAAGTTGTGTGAGTATAGTTGAACAAAACTGTAAATTGGTGTGAAGGGAATTTTTTGTAAATGGATACACACCAATAGTTAGTTTCTCGTAATTACATGCAACCCCTGTGTTTTTTTGGAATGGGTTGTGAAATAGGTGTAGTTTCATGTATATGAAGGTGTAAATAAAAGTTGACTATGAATTGGCATGTTAGATTCTGCTGTCATTTAAGTTGTCATACTTGCACTCTGTATTGTCATTAGACCTGTTATGACTTATCAATAGAGCACTGTCACTTGTCAATTAATTTGCTGATGTAAGTTGTCAACAATATGAATTCAAGTTACGTAACTTGTTTTAGTAACATATGATATTTTTAATCACTCTGTCATATTATATTTTTGGTTATTTGTCATATATAATCATTATTAATGAAGTGTCAATAGTGGCACTGTGACTTGTCAATGGTGGCACTGTGACTTGTCGTTGGTGGCACTATGACTTGCCAATGTGGCACACTGACTTGTCGTTGGTGGCACTATAACTTGTTAATCGTGACACACGGACTTGTCATTGGTGGCAATTTGACTTGTCAATGATGGCACACAGACTTGTCATTGGTGGCAATGTGACTTGTCAATGGTGGCATACTGAGCGGATTTTGAGCACCACGGTGGATTGTTAAAGTTACAAAAATGAGGTTGAATAGTTGATATGTCTTGCTTGGAGTTCAAAGTATTTGTGAAGATTGTATGCTCTGTAGTGGTTACTATATTCCTTTGTGGGGATTTCTATTTCCATATTGATGATTGTGTCTGAAAAAGAGGACGAATAAAGGGCACTTCAATCCCAAACACTTTATGGCAACACAGACTTTGTGTATTTATTTGCTGCTGTTATACTTGTCAATGACTACTCTTATAGTTGTCACTAGCAGCCTGCGTAGTTGTCACTGGATGCGGTGTTAGTTGTCACTGGATACTGTGTTAGTTGTCATCACATGCTTTGTTAGTTGTCAGTGGATGCTAAGTTGACTAGATGCTGTGTTAGTTGTCACTGCATGCTCTGTTAGTTGTCACTGCATGCTCTGTTACTTGTTACTGGATGCTGTTACTTCACACTGGATGCTCTGTCATTTCTCAGTGGATGCTCTGTTAGTTGTTAGTGGATGCTGTTTTTTGTTACTGGATGCTCTGTCCCTTGTCACTGGATGCTATGTTACTTGTCACAATATGTTCTGTCCCTTGTCATGGATGCTGTGTTGTTAGTAAAACCTTTTGATTATGTGTTTTTTTTGCAGATGAACTGTTTCCATACGATGTTGCGTGCTGTTAAGCCAGAGTTGTTTGCCAATGAGGACAAAATTGGCAACAAAGTGAAATGGGCTAAAGTTTATGTGCAGAATGATACGTGAGTGTAGTTGTTCTGTTTGATTGTGTTATGTTGTGTTTGTTCACAATAAAAATTGCATGCTGCTTACATATTGAATTTGCTTGGCAGTGATTCATGTGGAAGTTCATGTCCTCTCTTAGCTACAAGAGTGGGATGGCGCTATTCGTGATGCTGCAGGATATACCATGCCACGATACTCCAATGATGAATTGCAAGAGTTGAAGGTTGGCTGTTTGTGGTGGTTGGTTACCCATCCACAAAATGAACATAGGGATGAAGTGATGTCAATGCTATTGGACTTCAACAAGAGCAAGAGGAGGAGACAGAGGAGTCCATTAATTTTTTGTTCTGTTATGCCAGGATGTGTTATGAGATGATTGGCACCTAAGGGTGTGAGCCATGAGGGCAATAGCTTAATGGTCAATAGGTCCTTTTGTAACAAACTGATCAAATTATGTTTATAATATTATTATCTTTGTTATCAGATGTTATGATACCAATTTCTTGGGGACAACTCACATTTTTATTTTTGTTGTTTTATATCTTTATTGATATCGACAAATTTATGTAATATTAATAAGTAATATAACATGAGTTAATGACAAGTGATATAACAAATGAATATGTGGATATTAACAATTGATATTCAAAATTTTTACAACTGAAGGTGTTATTTATTTGTAATGTTAAGTAATATTTATATTAAAATATAATTAATCAGAAGGTGTTACTCAGAGTTATGTTCAATTAACAAGTCACTCTGCTCCATTGGTAAGTCACAGTGCTCTATTGGCAAGTCATAGTGCCACCATTGATAAGTCACGGTGCGACGATTGACAAGTGAAATTGCCACCAATGACAAGTCCGTGTGCCACCATTGACAAGTCATAGTGCCACCAACGACAAGTCAGTGTGCCACCATTGGCAAGTCATAATGCCACCAACGACAAGTCACAGTGCCACCATTGACAAGTCACAGCGCCACCATTAACAAGTCTTAAGGACATGATTGACAAGTCACTATGCCACTATTGACAAGTCACAGTACCACCATTGACACTTCATTAATAATGATTATATATGACAAATAACCAAAAATATAATATGACAGAGTGATTGAAAATATCATATGTTACTAAAACAAGTTATGTAACTTGAATTCATATTGTTGACAACTTACATCAGCAAATTAATTGACAAGTGACAGTGCTCTATTGATAAGTCATAACAGGTCTAATGACAATACAGAGTGCAGGTATGACAACTTAAATGACAGCAGAATCTAACATGCCAATTCATAGTCAACTTTCATTTACACCTTCATATACATGAAACTACACCTATTTCACAACCCATTCCAAAAAAACACAGGGGTTGCATGTAATTACGAGAAACTAACTATTGGTGTGTATCCATTTACAAAAAATTCCCTTCACACCAATTTACAGTTTTGTTCAACTATACTTACACAACTTGCTCCTCCATTGTATATATTATCCCTTGTTGCTTTATGTGGTCCTCATTTTCATTTTCTTTGACATACACATGACCACTTTCTTCATTGAACTTTATCAAATGTTCCACCCCATCATCATCTACCAACTCCACAAAAGTTTTTTATCAAACACAACTGAGAATTTCAGAAGAAATGAGTTGCTTTCTTTTCCAACAATTGATGATATAATTTCCTTCAATTCTTCATAACTTGTGCCCTCCTTTACATTGGTTGTTCTTACACTACCTCCCACATATCTCATATTATCTTCTCCATCATTTATAAACTTTCCCCTTATGTGAACAAAGCAAAATAGATGTTTTCCAGACGTACTTGCTATCAGTAACTTAAACCTGCATCAAGAATCACGCAACTGTCATTGACAACTTAAGGAGCTACATTGACAAGTGTAGCGGCACACATTGACAACAATCGCGGCCTGATTGACAACACAATCCCATTTCGTGCTAAGGGTTTCTAGCCTCACTAACCTTCATCTTTTTCTTCCTTTGCCACTAAACTAATGTCAAAACAGAGGAAAACCACCTAAAAACAGAGCATCCATTATCATTCTACACACCCAACTTAAATCACAACACACACCAACCAAAAACACAGCTTTTCCGTTCATTAACTTCTGAATCCTAAACCAAAAACAAAAGCTTTGAAAAACCATCAGTAACTTAAACCTGCATCAAGAAGCACGCAACTGTCATTGACAACTTAAAGAGCTACATTGACAAGTGTAGCGGCACACATTGACAACAATCGCGGCCTGATTGACAACACAGTCCCATTTCGTGCTAAGGGTTTCTACCCTCACTAACCTTCATCTTTTTCTTCCTTTGCCACTAAACCAACGTCAAAACAGAGGAAAACCACCCAAAAACAACCCAAAAACAGAGCACCCATTATCATTCTACACACCCAACTTAAATCACAACACACACCAACCAGCACGAAGGCTCACGATTTTCAGCGGGTTGTGAGGGGAATTTGAGCATCGCATGGGTTTTCACCAGATTTCCAGCAGCACAAAAGCACAACAGGGTTTCAGCTTTCTTCCGGTCAAACAAAAAACAGAGCTCTAATCTCCTTTCAGCATTTTCGAATCTCATAAGCAAGGGCAAGAGGGTAATTTTCAGATTCTGAAAATTGCATCTAAGTCCCTTTGGGACTTCAGAAAAATTATGGGATTTCAGGGGACCTTTTTGCTGTATTTTTGGTTCTGTGGGACCTCAATGTCATTTTCCCAAAAAAGTTTTCCATACAGACACATTTTTTAACGGAGATATTATATTGAAGATGAAGGGGGGGCACTTTCGGTTTCGAAAAGTTTGTACTTTGTTCCGTATTCACATAAATGTCAGTGAAAGCAAACAAAAAAGACGCTAAAAATAAACATAAGTGCACTTTATAAAAGTCCTAAATCAAAATCAAAGCTTAATAATTTATATATGGGATCGTAAAACCACATTCAAAACTGTTGGAGTTAGACAAAGTGACAAACACAGCAAAGCATATCAGTCACTGACCAGCTTTAACAGACGCATCGGCCTGAGCAACTTTCCTAGACATAGCAGCCAAGAGCGCGATCCCATGTTCGGCAGCCGCAACCGTATTGGCCGTGGGGGCGTTAACCACCAAGCACCCATGCTCGGTAGCTGCCGCCAGATCCACATTATCGATCCCAACACCAGCTCTCCCAACCACCTTAAGCCTTCCCCCCGATGATTCGAACACCTCACGCGTAACTTTGGTTCCACTACGCACAATCAGCGCATCGCAAAGCGAGATCTTGGTGCGGAGCTCCTCAGGGCTCAAATTATAGGAGCAGTCGACATTTGCATAGTCCTTCAGCAGCTGAAGCCCAGCTTCACCAAGCTTCTCCGCCACAAGCACGGTTGGCTTCGCATCAAGACCCGCCGAAACTACCACCACAAGAGGGCGTGCGCCATGGCGGCGGGGAGGCCGAAGGGAAACGGAGAAGGCGGATGATAGAGGGATTTTGGAAGAGAGAGAAAGTGATGGATTTCTAGTCGATGAAACACGAAGCGCTTGTGAAGAAGACAAGGAAGCCATTATAATTTAGAAAATGGCGTAGAAGTGTAGAAACTAGGATTTGATTTCGGCAAGTGAGCGCCGAAAGATGAAGAAGGGTGTGAGAAGAAGAGGAAGACAAGAACTGCGTTTTATATGCGTTGTGAAGAGTTAGGAAGGGAAGTGAACTGCACGCTCTTTTGAAGGTAACCTTAGATTAGGCGGACGCCCTTTGTTTGCATATTAATCTATACACACGCTGGTCAAAAAAAAAAAAATCAATGCACAAGTACACATACAGAGTAAAAATCTATTATTTGGATTATAAAAAAAAAAATCTCTTACTTAGATTTAAATGTAAAATTAAATAATTAAATTTTTTAAATTTTTTAAATTATTATAAACAGAATGTAGTGTTTTAATTTTATTTATTTATTTTTAAAAATAAATATTTTATAAATAATTTTAGAAAATATATTAATCTCATAATTAAAATGAGGAGTGGATAAAAACAGAGACACTTATTTTTTCAATGTTAAAGCCAAACTCACTAACATAAGAACTTATTATTCAATTTATATTTTTTCAAAGAAAATTAACAAGTAAGGAAAGAGAGATCTTAAGGCTAACTTCAGCCAGTTATTTTAGAATTAATATAATCTTTTATCCAAGTTTATCTTTATTTTAATTTTATTCTCTTAAGTTTCAAATTATAAAGTTTCATCTTTTAAAAGACAAAATGATCCAAATTTTTATTGAATTATAAGAACTAATATTTTAAATAAAAATAAAATTAAAAAACCATAATTTAAAATTTAAAATTTGAGAAACCGAAACTAAAAAGAAAGCAAACTCAAAAATCATATTAACGCATTATTTTAATACTCCTCTAGTCGTTAATATAAGACATAATTATTAAGTTAATTTTAGTTTTAAATATAAGACCTATTTCTCATATTTATTAATTTTTTTTAAATTACTCCTATAAATAGTTCTTCAACCATAAGCAGGCAAGTGAGAGAAGAAAGATATTAAAAAAAATGATTATAATATTTTAAGAAAAATATGTCATATTTTTTATAATTAATTAACTTATCTAATTTTTTAATTAATTAAAATAATTAAATAAATTTTGTATTAAAAATCACAAAAATACCACAGAGTGACCTGGCGGCTGATGCAATGTAGGAGGAGCGGCGGTGGAACTTGAAAGTTGGTGCCTTGGTGGGAAAGCTGAAAGGACTCCGAAATGGAGGGCATCACGCTCTCCTTTGTCGCGTGAAGGATCACGAGCAAATCACTGATTTGGGTTTCTGAATCCGACGACAACGACGTTGTTTGCCTGTCGTTTTTGGGTTTGAAGGTGCCCTTCAGATTTATATTTTGGGACGAATATCTGGTCTGGGTCCAAATGAAAGAATCTGGGCACTGGTTGGACCCTGTGGGACCCAATTACCATTCTTTAGCCTTTTTGGGTTGGTGAGATTTTTTTTTTTTTGCCTTTTTATATTTTCCCCCTTCTCGCCTCAAGGCTGGTGAGGTTATCCTCGCATTTGCATTGTAAATCAAGTTATAAGGTTTGGTAAAACGAATAATGACAGCCAGTGGCCTTAATTTTGTAAACATGAGGAAATATACAAAAAGATGGAAGAAAAATAATAGAGAAAATGGCACTTTGATATCAGCTAAGGAGGATAATGAACATTTTAGAACTCCTAAAACTTAAAAATAAAAAATGTCAGTTAACACTTTAGTTGGATTTATTTGTTTATTTTTCATAATTTAATATTTCAAAAATAATCTTATAAAATTTTGAATATAAATTATTCAAATTTGGTCGAGTCGAAGAAGGGGTAGCCATGCAGAAACAAAGATAACAAAATGAAATATAGCTCCTGCCAATACATGATAAGAAATTTGTAATCCTGAAAGAAAATTCAAATTTAATATTTCTCCAGCTCTAAATATAAGACCCATAAATAGGTCTTATATGACTATATTTAGGACCGGAAGTTTATTTTATATCATAATAAATAATAGCAATAATAAATGAGTAATATATAAACCTGGAGGCTTTTTCAAAACTAGGGGGCTCTGTGAGCCCACGAATAAACAGGGAGCCCAATCCAAAATGCTTATAAACCACAATACATGCAGGCCCACAGAAAGAGTCCCTAAAAAAATTACAGGGTGGGAAAATCTAAGTTCGGTGTCCAAGATTTGATTTGTTACGTTTGGATAATTACCTGTTTGGGAACTAGAAAATGGACAATATTACCTCCAATCTTTAATATAAGAAATATATAACTAATTTAAATAGAATAAGAAAATAAAATTAATTACGTTAGTTATTTGTAATACTACCTCTGATCCTTAATATAAGAATTAATTCATTAATTTTAGTGAATTAAAAAAATTATTATGTTGGTTATTTGTAATAAATAGATGCTGTTTTTTCAAAAATATTCTTGTTAAGTTATTGACTAGAACTATTATTATTACAAGGATTACCTTGAAAAAAAAATAGATAAATAGAAGAGACAAAGTAGATTTGGTTCTTATATTTAGGATCAAAATAAAAGTCAAACGAGCTTTCGTATTAAGAACTAGCAGTAGTAAGTATGTGTTGTCTTTCTTAAAATATCACTGCTAATCAAATATATTAGCTAAAACTATTATTATTATAAGGAATACCTGAAACAAAAGAATGGATAAATGAGAGACAAAATAAATTAGAATATTATATTTAAGACTAAAATAAAAGTCAAACAAATTTTATATTAAATATTAGAGGTAGTATAATTATGACCAGAACTATCCCTCTAGTAATGGACTAACACAGGACAGCAAGGTTTGAAAAGGTTAATTTTCCAAGTGCAATCAAATAGAGACAAAGGAAAGTAAACCAGGGTTAAAGTTATTTTTTTTCCTAAGAATATTCGCGAAAAAAAAAATCCGAAATTTTTTTGACTTAATATTATCTTTAAAATGCTAAAAATATAACAATATCGGCCGTGCTATTGAAAAGAATTAACAATCAACATTAATTTTTTAATATTTAGGGAAAAATTTTTTACACTTTCAAATGATATTAAACTTTTTTTGAGCTGAACACATATACTACTTCCGATCCTTAGTATAAGGTCTCGTTTGATTTTTATTTTGGTCCTAAATATAAAATCTCAATCTACTTTGTCTCTAATATTTATACAGTTTTTTTTAAGATAGTCCTTCTAATAATAGTAGTTCTACCAAACACACTTAATTAGCAAGGATATTCTAGGAAAGACAATACCTATTTATTATAAATAACTAACTTAAATCATTTCTTTAATCTTCTTAAATTAGTCAACTAGTTCTTATAATTAAGATCAGAGACTGTATCTTTTTATTCAAAAAAATTAAAATGCCGCCTAACAATAAATGTACTTTTTTCCGGTAAGAATTTAAAGATTAATTGAGCCTAATTCTTTGGGGGAGGACATTGAACTTTTAGTTACCTGCAGCTTTCTTCCGAATACTTGCAGGACAAAACTGCCCATAACCCAGGAATCATTAAACGCATCAACTTCTCATGATTATTGACTCCAATGACGCAATGTGAAAGGGGATGTGCGTGGTACACTGCAATTAAGAAAACAAACACAGAAGTATGAGGGTGCCAGCAGCAGCGGCCATGTTTGCCGCCCTCGCCTGTGCATCAGACACAGACAAGTGTTGCTGATCACTTTCTTTCATTATCAGAAGAATCAAACAAAACACCCATCTTATTTTCATCTTCACGCTGATTCGTTTCAGGTCAGTAAAAGTACGGAGAAAAGCTAGCCCCTTTGTCTTCATTCCCTTAGTCACGGATTTTCTCTATGATTTGCCATCCCTCAGTTTGACTTGAACCGCACCCATTTTTACAAGTGTTTAAACTCTGATTTTGAATTGCCAAAAAAAGCCAGACACACACTTAAGGAGTTAGCTTAGCTGTGTGCCACTTTGTCACTGTACAAGTTATTTGTAGTGTAAAAGTTTATTTCTCTGTTGAGTAAATAAAAGAAATAAGTAAGAGAAAATACATAACATTTTTTTTTTTGAATTTTGTAGTGTTATGCTATGAAACTTTTTCTCTCTCTAGACTTCATTGCTGAATTGTACTCCTACCAAGTTTACAGTAGAGAGTACAACCCGTACTATAAAGTATAAACTATAGATAAAGTATAAATCTTGAATTCCAACTAATGTTTGGAAATTAAATGAGAACAATATTGAATCATCCCAAAAAAGAAAGAAAAAAAAAAAACATTGCAGCCTAATGAAGGTGGTATAAATTAGTCAAAAGTTGAAAATACTCTCATATTTATACTTAAACCTCATGCTTACTATTTGCAATCACACCCTAGTTGAATAATTACATAAAGTGGAATGGAATGACTCTTCTATTACATCCAGACATTTTTGAAACACTTGGGAAAAGGATGGTTCTCAGAATTTAATATGACAAAGGATCCCAAGTACATCATTGTCGTGAAGAATTAACAAGGAGCAAATAATATTTAATTATTAGGGATTTTCTCTAGGATTTGTGAAGCCTCTTTCATGGATGGTCTCCTTTGAGGCTTAAGAGAGGCACAACGAAACCCTAACTTGAAGCACACCAATATGGTTTCTTCCTTCCCTCCCACCTCACCCTTGATGCCCAGATCAACCATCCTCAAAACCCGGTTTTTTTCCTCTTCCACTGACCCGCCCTCTTTAGCCCACCGGTCTAACTCCCGGTCCGAGAAAACCCTCCCACTGAGAAGCTCCAACAACACTATCCCGAACGAGTACACATCCCACTTGGGCTTGGGTTGGACGTGAACGCTTTGAAGAGACTCTGGGGCTTGATATGCCAACGTTTGGTGGGTTCCACTTGATGAAACCATGTGAGGGAGGTCCGGCTGGCTTCCCCGCTTCGCCATTGAACCGGCAGACCTCAGACGGTTGAGCCCAAAATCGCTTATTATAGGTTCCATTTCTGAGCTCAATAAGATATTGCTGGGTTTGATGTTGCCATGAACATGTTTCTTTCCGTGAATGAAAGCTAAGCCTCGTGCAATGCCTTTTGCTATCTTCATCCTCACCTCCAATGGCCAG